TCAAGGAGGGCACTTGTGATGAGCACTGAGTGTTATATGTAAGTGATGAATCACTGACTTCTACTTCTGAAACCAGTGTTGCACCTAATGTTAAAATTTAAATTAAAAAAATAAAAATGTTTTTAAATGTAAATGATGTGGAAAAAGCTCCTTGTAAAATCACTTAAAAGTTGCCTCTTAGTAGTAGCATTTAGTTACATGAAAGTAGTCAAGATTTTCTAATGGGCTAGGAGCCCTGCCCTCAGTGTAGTTGGAAACAACCAAGAAAATGGATTGTACATGTCTTACCACTTGGAGGCTTACTCCCTTGAAGGAGAATGAGTGCTTCCACTTTAGAGCCCATGTGACCAGAGGACGTGCACCGAGGTCCTGCCATTTCCTGAAGTCAAGGTGACAACAGCTCAGGAGAGGGGAGATGAGAAGTGGGTCTGGGGAGTGGGTGGCCTGAGATCACACCTGCACTTGGTGCACTGGGGCAGGCAGCAGCTCCAGGTGAGAGGCCTAGCATGTGGAAAGTCAGCTCTGACCCTGGCTCGCTCCCTCTCTGCTTTTCCTCCGCAACTTCCGCTTTTCTTCTCTGGAGCTTGCATCTGGAGGCTGGTTTGAGTTGGATGCTAGACTGCATCTGGCTGCCAGCTGTGTGGCGGCTTAGTAGCAGGCTGCTGGTTGGTCGTTTCTCCCAGACCTCAGCATGGCAACCTCCAGGGCTCTCCTTGGAGTTGTGTGCCCTCCTGGCTCTTTCCTGAAGGAGTCCTTCCTGATAATAGCTGAGGCGTCAGCAGAGATAGGGATGGCTTTGCTTTCATTAAAGTTTTTTTTGTTGTTGTTTAGTATAAGAGAGAAACAAGTGCAGGCTATTGCTTTTCTTTCTGTTACTGTGATACTATAAGTCTAAATGGGACCTTCAACATCATATGTAAAAATTAAGGAATTTTTAGTAGTTTGCATGGTGTATAAGGAAATGGCAGTAAGCACATCATCTCTACGGCTGTTGTGGGTCTGCATCTCTGTGGTCATGTGGCATTGCTTAGCATAGCGCAGTGGCATGGAGGGTAAGAGAAACTGAAGGCATATATCTGACGCATATGTCTACTTAACATACCTTTGCACTGAGTATGTATATTATAAAACATGCAGAAATAGCTATCTTAAAAAGGGTGAGCTACAAATACAAGTAAATAAGAGTTGAGTGTTTTTTTCTTAGACTTCACTCGATGGTCTTGTTCACTTCTAGAGACTGCTGATGTAGACACCTACCATGCTAGTTCTTCACCTCTCTCCTCTCTTAATTTCAGTGCATCAGGGCGCCCTCCACAGGATGGTGTTGGGGGCAGATCTTTTGCAGAGGAATGATTCTCTTAGAGTTCATTGCCTATAAGACTTTTTAAACACTTTTTCTCATTGTAGACACCAACTATTGACTTCTTCAAAATAATAACCATTGTAAACTCCACACCATGATGATTTCTGATGCACACTGCCTGCTTCGCACCCCCACCACACATAACTCTGTTCTGACAAGTCAGGAACCTGAGGCTCATAGAGGGGAAGTGGCTTGTAACAGGGAAGCTGAGCAGAATCAGGACCACAACCTCTGTCCCTTGAGTCCTTTCACTTGTCTTTCTAAGATTCCATGGTGTGTACTAAAATTTTTCAAAGGACCCCTCTAGCCCATTTTGGCTACTTTTGTTATCTAAAAGTTGTAAAATTCATTGCATAAGGTTCTTTGCCTCTTCTGACCTGTTCATATTAATCCGATATACTTGGAGCCTAAGTTCTCTGAAACTAAGGGGCAATTTTAAGGGCAGTAGATACTGCTTGCCTTTGATTTTGTTTCCCTTTTCTTTGTTTTTCTGTTTTCCTTTTGTCTGACAGATTTGGAGGGAAATTGTTTACATATCTTGTCAGGTAGCTTTGTGTCTTCCTTTGTTGTGATTGTGGGTTCTTATTTTCATCCAGAGGTGAGGCCCTTCTTACCTTGCCTGCCAGGTGTTTGCTAAACCCAATGTATTCTAGCAAGTCATTTCTCTTTTATAAAACGTGGAAGTGTCCTGATTGTTGCCAGCCTTGCCCATGGTTGTTCTCAGAACTAAGCAGTGCTGAGTCTGTAAAAATAGTAGAGTACACAAAACCACTCTTACTCCTCAGGACAGAAACTTCCACAGAGCTTCCATGTTCACCTCTTAGAGGAAAATACTCACAACTGTTTTAAGCTTTAAAACTGATCAAATGAGATTCTTTATGTTTTAGGTTTATTAGAAGGCTTTTTGTTATATTTTGAATGTCTTTATATTCAATAGAGAAGCTCAGAAGATGCTTTTCTTTGGAAGACATGGCTAGTCAGGAATATCTGAAAGAATTAAAGAATTTCTGTTTAAAGCAAAGAAACTTGTTTCCCAATTGGCAAAATATGGGGATTTTTATTACCAGTGTTAGAGAAATGGTTGTATTCTGAGCTTATATTTGTTATAAGTAACGCACTGGTAAAAGCCACTCTCTTCTTTTTGTTCCTGAATGGAAAAAGCAAAAGTTGTAAAATAAAAGATCTTAACTTAATTTGCTTTGAAGTAGAAAGGCTCCAGTAACACTGCTTGGATGAGATTCTCAGATTTCTTTCCTCAAGTGTCTGTGTTATATTGCTGATGAAGTCCTGGGGCAGGGTGAGGTGGTTTTGTGGCTTTTATTTATCAGTAGCTAGTTTAAAAAAAATTTTTTTTGATGTTCATTTATTATTGAGAGACAGAGAGATACAGAGTGTGAGGAGGAGGGGTAGAGAGAGAGGGAGACACAGAATCTGAAATAGGCTCCAGGCTCTGAGCTGTTAGCACAGAGCCCAATGCAGGGCTCGAACTCACGAACTGTGAGATCATCACCGTCGCCTAACCAACTGAGCCACCCAGGCACCCCTCAGTAGCTAGTTTTTACAAAGAAAGGCCTCTTTCCTCCCAAGGGTGCAGCACAGTGCTCAGGGCCAGGTGCCCTGAATGCAAGCCCCACACCATGCCACATGTGCCTATATGGGCATTAAGCTAGCAAATGACAGGCAGCAAGTACATTGTATGGGGACAGTGTACATGTTTCAATTTAATAAAGATGCCTTGGCCATTAAAGTTGTAGTTTCTAAACACCAGGACAGGAACTCTTTTATTTCTGTGACCCTACCCACACCCATGGGAAACTGCGTTTTGTGTGTTGAATTCTAAGAGCAGACAGTGCTAGGAAAAAAATAAAGCATGAGGGGCACATGGGTGGCTCAGTCGGTTGAGGTCCAACTTCAGCTTGGGTCATGATCTCACAGCTTGTGAGTTTGAGCCCCATGTCAAGCTCTGTGTTGACAGCTCGGAGCTTGGACCCTCCTTCGTATTCTGCGTCTCACTCTCTCTGCCCCTAACCCACTCGCATTCTGTTTCTGTCTCTCTCAAAGATAAATAAACATTTAAAAAAAATTTTAAAGAAAAATAACTAAACCATGCAATATATGGAATGAGAGAGGAGATGGGGCCAGAAGCTAACTCAGAACTGTATTGAGAGTAATGGTCGTGTAACACTCAGCTGAGAGAGACCAGGTACCAAGAAATCCTCTCTGTGCAAGGGTTCCACATATAAGACATTTCTTTATATTTCTTAGGAAATCATTTAAGTGTCTACCTTCAGAATGAATGCTTGTGTGTGGGGGGGGGGGGAAGAAATTAATACTCAGACTATAATAAATACCTACTTTTATGCCTATTATAAATATTTATGTCTAATATCCCCAATAACTTTATCCCAAACTTTCTTATTTAATAATCTTAGTGCCACATTGAAGTTTGTGGTAATACTGTCAGCTTCCTGTGTCTTGAGAAATTCGATGGCTGTGTATTCTTTAGACCTGTGCTGTCCAGTACAGTAGCCACTAGCCATATATGGCTATTTAAACTTAAGTTAACTTCATTGAAGTAAAATTGAAAAGGAAGTTCCTCAGTTGTACTAGTCATATTTTAGGTACTCAGTAGCAACATGTGGCTAGTAGCTACTCTATTGAATAGTACTAAGACAGAACATTTTCATCCTGGAGTGTTTTATTAGATGGCCCTAGTCTAGAGGCTAGCATTTTTCATATTTGTGGGAAGAATTGGTTAATTCTATACTTTACACTGTAGAAGTGCCTTATTAACAGATGTCTGGGGCTGGATGAGAAAAGCAGCCAGACAGGTGCCCAGTGTGTCCCACTACTCTATACTTAGGGGTTATATAGAACAGCCTGGATTAGGAAAGGTTGTCAGAGTGAGTCTACCTACCTGCTAGTAGGATGCACATGGTTAATACTACAGGCATTAGAGGCAGAGTGGCCCTTCTAGTTTGGGACTTGCTAGCTGGGTGACACTGGGCAACTCACGTGACTCTTCTGAACCTATTTGCTCATCTGTAAAGTAGGATTGAAATACTTATTTCCAGGTTTGTTTTGAAAATTTTATTAGATAAAGGAAATGGAATAAAGAATATCAAACACTGAGCACAGTGCAGGACATATAGTATGCATGTGTGCTGTGGCAGTTTCTTAAATTCATTACTATGAATAATACTGGCATTTCTTATTCTTATTGTCAGTTTCTTTTTCCTCTTTTTAACTATTTCTTTCCTTTCTTTGCTTTACTTCCGTTCTCCTTTATTCCTTTGTCTTCTTTTTCTTCTGATTTAAGGGCCCTGGATAATTCTGTTAGTGATGTGCATGGATAAAGAATTCCCTGTCCTTTAGTTGCCTAGTATAGTGAAGAATGGGGAATTGAAATCAAACGAAACCAAAGTGTGTAAGGATTCACAGAAGCACCCCACCTTTGACCAATATTTATGAGGAAGCTGGTACATGTGGGGTGGAGGAGCAGTGTGGAAATAGCTGGCCAGTCGAGATGGGGTCTGTGAACTTCCCTTCATTAGCACCTACCTGTAAATGGTCAGCAGAGTGTCATGAGAGCAGTAGTTAGAAGATACCTGCTGATTACATATCTTTACTTGCACAGCAACAAAGGAGAGAACGTGAAGCTAGAAGGCAGCAAGAACGTGAACAGCGAAGGAGAGAACAAGAAGAGAAGAGGCGTCTGGAGGAACTGGAAAGAAGACGTAAAGAAGAAGAAGAGAGGAGACGGGCAGAGGAAGAAAAGAGGAGAGTTGAAAGAGAACAGGTTAGTTCACAAAAGAATGTTCTGACCATGCATATGTGAGGTCATATGTGAGGTTGCTTTGTAGAGTTGGGGGATTTGGGACTCAAAGTACAGACACGTGTGCATGCACGTATGTACACACACACACACACACACACACACACACACACACACACACACATTCAGGATTTCAGAGGTTTGAAGATGCCGAAGCACAATTGGAAGCACAGCAATAAATTGAATTAATAAATTGAAATTAAAAATGATGGATAAATTTTTACATTTAGAAATCTCTTGAAGTCAGTTGAGTGGTCTCCAAATAGTGTGATGCCCAAAAGATTTCTGAATATTTCTTTTTGGGCTTGGCTTAAATGCTTTGAACCTCAGATATCTGGATGATGATTAGCCTTTTCTTTAATGAACTGAAAAACCAACCACAAGGAATGTTTGAATTATGCAGTGGCTGAATATCATAATAAACATACTTGTGTATAACTCAGTAGTAGCATTAGAAAAACTAATAACATCGTGGTTTTGTTTAGCCAAAAAAGATAATATTTTGGTAATACTTAGAGCATTTTATTGATGCCAGCTATAGTTGTCTTTAGAAATCTCTGTTCCCTGGATTGACTGTGCTTTTGTGTCTGTGCTGTCAGTGTGAGCCCCTCAGAACCTCTTCACCTCTCACATCTTTGAATTGATCGCTCTTTGTTATGAGCTTTGGGTAAAGGAGGAAAGATATGAATGGAGACCAATTTAAATAATACTTGAAATTCATACTTAAAATACTTATCAACTATGGTATTAACTTCCACAGTTGAGTATTCAGCTACTATCCTTGATACTGATCATATGCTTCAGGTTCTCTGCACATGTACTATTTCTTCCTGAGAATTTAAGGATATTTCTGTTACTATTGACATTATTGGCCAGTCAGCACTGGTGTGTTTTGGGTTTGTTTGTTTTGTTTTTCCCCACATTCTGATTTATACTTAGGGATTGGAAAGAGGAGTAAAAGTAATTAAGCTTTTGAAAGTTAAGTCTCCTAGGGGTAATTCTCACAATGTGATGGTGAGAGGAGTATGTGAGAGTAATACTTAATCTTTAATGTGCTAGTGACAGTCGTTAACATTCATGTATAGCAAGTATTCTTTTTTTTATGTTAAATATAATTTATTGTCAAATTGGTTTCCATACAACATCCAGTGCTCATCCCAACAGGTGCCCTCCTCAATGCCCATCACCCACTTTCCCCTCTCCCCCACCCCCCATCAACCATCAGTTTGTTCTCAGCATTTCAGAGTCTCTTGTGGTTTGCCTCCCTCCCTCTCTGTAACTTTTTTTCCCCCTTGCCCTCCCCCACGTCTTCTCTTAAGTTTCTCAGGATCCACATATAAGTGAAAACATATGGTATCTGTCTTTCTTTGCCTGACTTATTTCACTTAGCATAATACCCTCCAGTTCCATCCACATTGCTACAAATGGCCAGATTTCATTCTTTCTCATTGCCAGGTAGTATTCCATTGTATATATAAACCATATCTTCTTTATCCATTCATCAGTTGATGGACATTTAGGCTCTTTCCATAATTTGGCTATTGTTGAAAGTGCTGCTATAAACATTGGGATACAAGTGCCCCATGCATCAGCGCTCCTGTATCCCTTGGGTAAATTCCTAGCAGTGTATAGCAAGTATCCTTTACCTCTTCTTGAAAATAGATAGGTATCAAAGTAGTTTTATTCTGCTTTCCTTGTTCTGTTGCAAAATCTTTCGTGTTAACAGTGCTGTAAGAAACTGCACTTCTGCATGTTTGTATACATGTATGATTGTATTCTGCATGCTCATTGTATGTTAGGACATTTGTGGTTTGGATAGACGTGACTTTCCTGGTTGTCCTTGTGTTTTGAAGGCAAAAAGACAAAACGACTGTACTAATTTGGTCTTTCAAGTTATGGTTCATTTCAGTCTAGTTCAAAGAAGAGGTGAGTTGGAACTCAGATTCCTTTCTCAGCTGTTGCAGGGGAAGGCCACATGTCATGCTAGGTCAATGCTTGGCATAGCATGTGCCGTGGAAGGTTAGGCTAGGAGGAATGGGACTTGGAGCCCAGGTTGGAATCAGAGTGTCTTTGCAAATGCCCTTCTAGATACACTTTCCCCCAGATTGGCTTTTTTGGGTAAAGTTTATTTTATAAGATAAAGGTTTCTGAGGAAATGTATATGTCATGATTTGTGTTATCCTGCATTCTCTAAACCAGAATTATTGGTTAACTAAAACTTCTGTCCAGCTCAGATGTATAGCTATTTTTATTTTAAAATGTGTGCCATGGTACAAGTGGATGCTCAGCATTAGACACTGTAAAGACGTAATCTGAATTTCAGAATAAGACTTCTCTTCTTAGATCTCTTAGTCTACTCCCTTTCTGGAACAGTTAGCTTTTTTCCTTCTTGAAAAGGAAGGAAACTTCTTTTGTTTGTATTTCAGAGTTGTTTAATGTCTATGTCCTATTTGAGCCTTACAAAAAATCTTGAGAGTTGCAAAAGAATGTTTTTTTTTTTTATTAATTTTTTTTTTTTTTAACATTTGTTTATTTTTGAGACAGAGACAGAGCACGAGCGGGGGAGGGTCAGAGAGAGGGAGACATAGAATCTGAAACAGGCTCCAGGCTCTGGGCTGTCAGCACAGAGCCCGACGCGGGGCTCGAACTCAAGGATCGCGGGATCATGACCTGAGCTGAAGTCGGCCGCTTAACCAACTGAGCCACCCAGGCACCCCAATTTTTTTAAATGTTTGTTTCATTTTGAGAGAGAGAGAGAGAGACAGAGTGCGAGGGAGGAGCAGGGAGAGAGAGGGAGACTGAATCTGAAGCAGGCTCCAGGCTCTGAGCTGTCAGCCCAGAGTCCGACGTGGGGCTTGAACTCCCGAACCACGAGATTATGATCTGAGCTGAAGTCAGACGTTTAACCAACTGAGCCATCCACGTGCCCCAAGAATATTCTTGATACTCATTTCTCAAATGAGGATACTGAGAAAATGGAAGGTTGAGGGTTTTCTAAAGGTCTGAGATTTCCAAACGTCTCTTGATTTCCTAGTCTATTAAATATGCATGCAACTTCAAGGTTGGATTTCTCCTCTTTACATGGTTTGGGTATGTACCTGTTTTCATTGATCCAGAGGCTTGTCATTCTCTTCCCCTTGAAAATAAGTTCCCCGCCCCCTCCCCACAAACACACACACACACACTCTCAGTCTCTTCTTGAAGAGCCTGGGCCTGTTCATTTGTGAGAAACCACCCGAATCTGGTGTTCACAGATCATGGCTTTCAGAATATAGTCATTCCAGGTACCTTCTGTGTCATCAGAGAAAACACAAATCATGTTTGTTCTGTTTTATTTTTTTTTTTATAAAATTTTTTTTTCTTTTTTTTTTTTTAATTTTTTTTTTTTCAACGTTTATTTTTGGGACAGAGAGAGACAGAGCATGAACGGGGGAGGGGCAGAGAGAGAGGGAGACGCAGAATCGGAAACAGGCTCCAGGCTCCGAGCCATCAGCCCAGAGCCTGACGCGGGGCTCGAACTCACGGACCGCGAGATTGTGACCTGGCTGAAGTCGGACGCTTAACCGACTGCGCCACCCAGGCGCCCCAAGTTTGTTCTGTTTTAATATTAAAACGGGTTTTGGTTTGGGATTTTAAAAATTGGCAATCCATGCTTGTTTTAAATGATTCATCGGAACCCTCTAGGGCAATGAGAACCCTCTGGTTTCTTATCTAATTAAACTTGATTTCTCTGGTCTACCATCCTTAAGAGGAACATCCTGGTTCTTTGAAATCCTGCAATTATATTTAACAGCTGCGTTCTTACAGAAGAACTATCAGATACTTTTGTGTATATCAGTAGAGTGTATATCATCATTTATTAGACTCTTTAGATCTTCGTTGACCAATTTGAAGATCTTGGGGACAATCTTTCACTATATGTTTCATAATATATCCATCACTAAGTGAATTACCACTGAAGACCATTGGGGCAAATGGTTCTTGGTGCTCCATTCAGGTGGTTCTGATGCTTTCCTTTGGGATAAATTGATTGCTGGGTAATTTCTGTGTGACAGGAGTATATCAGGCGACAGCTAGAAGAGGAGCAGCGGCACTTGGAAATCCTTCAGCAGCAGCTGCTCCAGGAGCAGGCCATGTTACTGGTAACGCCCTGTATCTGTCTTGTTCCGTAGCATTAGGGCTCATTTCTCTATCCCTCCCCTGAGCTTTGGGCATAGCCGTGGTGATTACCAGACCATTTTGGTTAGCGTTGTGGGCTGACAGGCTCAAATGGAGATGTCCTCTGTGGTCATGCTGCTTTGGGCACATTTCGAGGTGGCTTCTATTTACTTACTTATTTCCTGTTAAAGAGTTAACTGTTCTCTTTGGTAGATAGCAAGGGTTTGAACAGAACTTGGCATTCAGTGAACAAACTAGAATGCCAAAGGCTGAAAGTTCAAAGCACATGCCATAGGATTTTTGCCTAGTACACTAACTTTTGAAACCACCAGAACCAACTTTTAATTGAATTCTCTCTCTGTCCAGTGATATTATGGTTAGCAACAAGCTGTCATATTTTTCCACAGGTAATACGCTATTTAAAATCCCAGTCATTTTGCTCTGTGATTAAAAAAAGGTGGGGGGGGAAGGCATGGTCTTTGTGAAAAGTTGAGAATGAATCCAGAGAAGAGGCAAGTTGTGCGGTGGCCCATAGATTTAGTGTTCTCCTCTCCCTCTCCAAGGAGTGCCGATGGCGGGAGATGGAGGAGCACCGGCAGGCAGAGAGGCTCCAGAGGCAGTTGCAACAAGAACAAGCATATCTCCTGTCTCTACAGCATGACCACAGGAGGCCGCACCCGCAGCAGCAGCAGCCACCGCAGCAGGAAAGGAGCAAGCCAAGCTATCACGCTCCAGAGCCTAAGCCCCACTATGAGCCCACTGACAGAACCCGAGAGGTATTTTCTTTCCTTTGTTGCTTAAATATTGATCCGGTGTTGCTCATTCCCTGGGAAGTAGTAGAATGACTCTTAGGAGCTGTGTAATAGTAAGCTTAGACAGGGACACAGAGAGCAGATCAGAGCCAGTCTTTTGGTTTTCTAGCCAAGAAAATGTGGTTCAGACAAGTGAAAGGACACTTGCCTGCGGTCCCTTATCTGCTTGGTGTTTTCTCCAGAGACGACCAGAGTGCCTCTGTAAACAACTCTTGGTGAAGTGAGCACTAAACAGAGGGAAGATTATATGGCAAAATCATTCCTAAAATGTACATAAGGGGATGGTGGCCTGGTTAACTATTTTTCCAAAACCACCATGAAAATGAACAGTGCCTATAGCCCAATTATACTGACTTTTTTAACAAATCACTGATTGTGATTTGTTAATGAAATTGGTGCAGTTGGGCCACCCAGAGCCTCCTGGTGATGATGTGGCAAAGCGGTAACTTTTGGAATACTAGGAGTCCTGGAAGCTGGTTGACTTCTGCAGTGTGTTGAAACCTGGCCTGTAGGTGGCACCCTTCCACCACGTCTCACCCTCACAGAGAGTAGATTCTAGGAACAAGTGTTCTCCGCATCCTAGAATGCCTTTGTTTTGGGTACGATGAAATGTGTTTTGAATTCCTGATGATAATCTTCTAATCTTAATCTTTTGGTGTAGTTAGTTGTGACGTTCATTTTTTTTTTTTCTAGTTTATCGTCATGTACAATCTTAGAATTCTTGCCAGGAGATTTTAAAGGCTTAATTTTTATTTTCATATTTCTTTATCTCAAATTGAATTTTAGCCCTATTATATTTGCCTCCTCTCTTTCCTTGTAGCTAGAGAAAAGAGAAAATTTCTCTCTAGGGCCCTTCCACTCAAGCTTTCTTTGGGATCTCTGCTTTTCCCTACTAACACTGAGTTATGTCTTCTAATTCTCTGATGCAGGTGGAAGATAGATTTAGGAAAACTAACCACAGCTCCCCTGAAGCCCAGTCTAAGCAGACAGGCAGAGTATTGGAGCCACCAGTGCCTTCCAGATCAGAGTCTTTTTCCAATGGCAACTCCGAGTCTGTGCATCCTGCTCTGCAGAGACCAGCTGAGCCACAGGTAGCAACAGCCCGGTGGCTGTGGGCTGAGGTGACTCACACGGTAGTTCACTAAGCCATGGGCCTGCTTATAACATTCACAGATTGGTTTGTTACCACATTAGGAAGAAAAGAGATTTGCAGGAGTGATTCTAAATTAACTTACAGGTGATATCCCCTTAGTTGATAGAGAAAAGAAGGATTTTTTAAAAAGATTTTTATTATACTCATTAAGGATATCTAGATTCAGTGATTACTTCTTTTAGTCTTTTTGTCTTTCCTAACTCAGATGCTCATAAACAAATGCCTCCTTTCTCTAATTCAAAAATTTTTCAGGTTTGTTTTTAGAAAGTACATAGAGGGAGAACCAGAACCTTTTCTTAACCTTTGATCCTTGGTTCCTGGCCAGTTGCATGAGTGGGCTTTTGGAAATCCAGTGACAGCCCAGTTGAAATTACATATAGAATTTCTTAGTTTGTCCAAATGTACCTATTTTTTCTGGGAAAAGGGCCTTTCATTAGATTCTCAAAAGGTTCAAGATCCAAAAGAAGATATGATCTAGTAGGTTCAGTATGCATTTCCCTGAAGTAGTTCAGGGGAAAGGTCCTTTCATTAGGTTGACCACAGCATTCTGCCTTGTCTAGGTGAGGGAGAACCCCTGGGCTGAGTGCTATGTGGTTAAAAGAGAACCCTCTGTCCTGTCCAGAGAAAACAGTTAATAGCAGGGATTATCCATGTCAAAGATCTGAGAGGTCCTTAAAATACAGATTCCCATTCTCTTACTGAAAATAAATAACATTTAGACATTTGGCACCTTGAAGCCTGGGTTGACTTGTCACGGATGCTTGCATGTGTTCGGGGACAAAAGTTCATATTCTTGTGATTGAAGTAGCTGTGGTGTTCAGAAAAAAAAAAATCCCAAGGAGGATTTGAACATGCTTTACAATAAATAATCCCAGTATGGAG